AAGTATTAGTAACAATCAAAATAAGTGATAGAAACTTAATGTAGCAAATTATAAATTGAAAGAAGTGATAGAAACTTAACAATTCATAAGTTATAGTATTATTAATAAGTCACAAAAATCCATACTCAACGATCCATAATTTTTTATGTCCATGAAGTCAAATTGCCATAATCTTGATATTCATATCCATCTTCAACTTCATTGTCTTCTCCACCAACTTCATCTTCTCTGGTGTTGTTTTTTTCTTGATTCACAGTATCAACAATAGTGTCTTGTGCATTACCCATATCTCCATCTTCATCCTCATCTAAATCTATTTGATCTATAACAATATTTTAAAAAATAATTAACAAAATTTTTTTAGAGATGGTAAATATGAGACATTAAATTGATTCACAACCACAAACTATATTATGTTCATATTAGAACATACCAATATCACTTGAAATTAGTTGGATGGTCATATTTGCAAAGACAGAATATTGAGAATATGACTTCAATTAGAAAATTGAGAATATGACTTCAATTAGAAAAAAAATTTCAATAAAAAATTCTAGATAGACACATCAAACTATATTATCATAATAATAATATATATTCTACTCACATTAAAGTAGATATTAATATATTTCATACTCACAAAACTTTGTGGTATAACAAAATTTTGATTTTAAAAATTTAATTGATAATCCTACATTTTAAAATCTTTATTTATTTCAGAATAATGGTCTTTTCAAAATCACCAAATAAATCCATTAAGTTACTAATGGAAACATACTTCATCTTTAAATTCTACAAAATATGATAACTTTGTAAATAATCAGTAATTGATACGATTTATAATATCACAAAAGAACAACAACTAATACGATAACCATGTTAAGAAGTTTTTAAAATGTCAAACAAACAAAAATTGATACTGTAACAATGTTACAGAGTTTCTAACAAAAAAAAGCTTTATAAGTAATACAAATATTTATAATTCTTCAAGAACTATACATTCACACTTTTATAACTCATGGAAAAAAAATTTATTATGGAATCTTTTAAGATGTTATATAACTTCTTCATAAATTTATAGAAATATTATTTTGCCATTCTTCATAGATGTTTGATAAGTTTTCCAATAATTTATATAAATGCTATTTTGTTATCTTTCAGGGTTGTTTAATAAATTTTTCAAAAATTATATAAATAATTTGTTTTTGATATCTTCAGGAATAACTTGATAACTTCTTCAGGAACTATATGAATAATTTATTTTGCAATCCTTCAAGGATGTTTTAACATTATTCATTACTGATTTTATTTTTCATTTTCTAATCAATATTTATAAATAACACATAGAGAATAAAAAATAATAGTACCTTCTAAGTGTCAGAGCTATATACAAATTGATTAAATAAAAAATGAAGTTATTGAGAGACAAATCATCCATTACAGGTGAGTATGTCTCATCAAAATCATCCATTATTTGGAGACAATAAACAAACATGTGACCATCTAGTTGTTGCATCAATAAAACCATAAAGTATCCAAGTGTATTGACCTCTACGTTCTAAAAAAACTTATATATTTATTTCCAATATTTGTTATGATGGGCGAATTATCAACTTCCCTTGCTAGCAAGAGTTGCATGAGAACTTATTTGATTGAATAATTTTCCGACTCATTAATTGATGATCGCACGAATTTTTAATTATTTTCGCATTGTTATATAACTGGGATGGTCCAACCGATCATGCAAATTTACAAATTTATTACTATTTGTAAACTTCTGGTTTACAATAACATGTGCTTCAATTGTACAAGCCCGAGATTCTGTTCTGTAATACAAAGATATTCAATACCTCCATCATCTTTTGTTTCAATATGATAGCCATTTAGGCGAATATCTTTGAAACTTAATAAATTTCTATTAGATTTAGAATAATATAGTGCTTTCTCATTGTGTAATATTGTTCCTCCACTTAACAATACACTAGCTCTTCCGGAACCTTCAACTATTTTTGAGGTGTCAGATATAATGCTGACATCAGTATTTCGCTTTACTAAGTAAGAGAAATGTTGTTTATCTTTAAAAATTGTGTGAGTAGTTGCACTATCAACGAGACAAATATCTTTATTAGTGGCGCACGTGCTGACATTCATTCTTCTAAAATAATAATAATGAGTTATGAGTGCACTTTACTCATACAAGTTATTCAAACTTAAATTAAGTAAATGAACACGAAGCAAACACACTTTATTATTTTTAAAAAATAAAAGTTAAAACATTCATAAAAAGAAAATTCAAAACATCCATAAAAAAAAAATTTAAAATATCCATAAAGTCATTATAATAGTTAAAAAGAAATTTCTATAAATCATATTTTTTGACACCTTCTAAGGTGATTAATTTTTTTATTGAGATAAACAAAAAAATCACAAATTTATAAACAACTTTCGAGCAACAATTTATATCAGATAAACAAAATAAATACACTTTTATATATATATATATATATATATATATATATATATATATATATATATATATTATTGAATGTATATTCAGTTATCACCATTGTATTAATTTTATCAGCATAAAATATTTTACAATACTTATTAAATACATTAAACAACAACCTTCCAATAATTTTGAAAGTTCATATCAACAAGTATAGTCATATTAAATTTTATTTATTTATTTATTAGTCAAATCACAAGTATAGTCTTTCATTGCACATAAGTATATATTCTAATAAGATTAATTTCATTAATATCATCATATTACTCTAATATAATGATTAATCCAAAATTATCATATATAATAATTTATGATATCTCATAAATATTTTATGGTTTTATAAATTGCCCAAAATATATATATATATATCAATACTAAATTTATAATCAAATTTCTAGTTCACTTTCACTTGTTTACCTCAATCATATATATATATATATATATATATATATATATATATATATATATATATATATATATATATATATATATATATATATATATATATATATATATATATATATATATATATATATATATATATATATATATATATATATATATATATATATATATATATATATATATATATATATATATATATATATATATATATATATATATATATATAAAATATTTTGAATCTTACTATATGTATATATAGATACACACATCAAATTATATTTTCACAATATAAATATTATATGCACGCCCAATAATAATATATATTCTACTCATATTAAAAGTACATATTAATATATTTTATACTCACAAAACTTTCTGCTATAACAAAATTTTGATTTCAAAATTTTAATTAATAAACCTACATTTTAAAATCTTCATTTATTTCACAATAATTATCTTTTCAAAATCACCAAACAAATCCATCAAATTACTAATAAAACATACAAAAGAGGAACAATTGATACGGTAACAATGTTAAGAAACTTTTAATATCTCAAACATACAATAATTGATATTGTAACAATATTATAGAGTTTCTAACCTAAAAAATGTTTTATAAGTAATATAAATATTTATAATTGTCAGAATTATATGATTTACGCTTTTATAATTATGGAAAAAAAATTATTTTGCAACCCTTCACGAATGTTTTATAAATTTTTTATAAATTTATATTATTTTATTATTCTTCTGGATATTTGATAAATTCTTCAGAAACTTATATAAATATTGTTTTTCTACCTTTAAGGGATGTTTAATAAATTTTTCAAGAAATATATAAATAATTTATTTTACTATCATTCAAAAATAGTTTGATAAATTCTTCAAGAACTATATAAATAATTTGTTTTACAATCCTTCAGGGATAGGAATAGCTTGATATGTTCTTCAGGAACTAGATGAATAATTTATTTTGCAATCTTTCAAGACACTTTAATATTATTCATGAAATCCTTCTAGAATGCATGAAAATCATCATTGATTTTCTTTTTCATTTTCTAATCAATATTTATAAATAATAGAGAATAAAAAAAAATAATACTACCTTCTAAGTGAGAGAGCTTGGATATCATAACAATATAATAAATACAAATTAATTAAATAAAAAATGAAATTATAAAGAAATAAATCATCCAATTATTCATAACACTCTTTTTTAAATATTTGTTTTGGATAATACCTTATTAAAACCTTATTAGAATAATTACATTTAAAGTAGAATGGCAGCTCAAGGAAAAAGGCAGGAGGAGAGGATCCTTATTCAATATTTCTAGATCAACCAGTTGGATTTAAATTTTATAAATGACGTAAAAAGGAATATTTAGAAAATGTTTTTCTTAGGTTCTCCATTGAAAAAGTGTGAGAAATTTACCCAACATAAATGAAAGACATATAGGTAAAATATACTTCTGAACCTATAAGAAAATAAAAAATTCTAATAAAACCTATCTAACTCCGCATGTGTTACATCTTCAACGTGATTTAGTGTCTTGCAAATAAGAAAACATATCCTCCAATAGTTTTTCTTCTTCAACTTAGATATGGCACGTATCAAATCCACTATCCCTATATACTATATACATTATGCCCCTGTGAGTGGCATGTACTGTTACTAATGGCCTCATCTCAACAATGACGATGAATATATATATATATATATATATATATATATATATATATATATATATATATATATATATATATATATATATAATTTCTGCTATAAAATTCTACACCAGAAGAAAAAAATAGACTTGTGACACCACCCACTTCCTCCATTGTCCCATTTTCATGCGCATGCACGCTTCCAGCTTTTACACCTACTTGTTGCCGACGCACATTATAGATATAGTATTATTATCACTGTTGATATTAGACATTATCATCTATAAATAGCATTCATAACTCAACACTTTTCTCTACAACTAAAACTTTCTATCCTCTATTACATACTTGCTTCAGAAAAGTTCAAACTTCCAAGTAATTTCTAACCTTGTGCTGATCGATATCTTTGAGTTTTATCACAATGTCTTTCATGAGGATTTTAGGTGTTGTAGCTTTGCTTGTTGCAATGAGTGCTATAACATGTGAAAGTAGGGCAGCAAGAAAGAATCTTGGGTTGAACCTAGGTGGGGTGGGAATTGGAACGGGTTCTGGTGTGGGAATTGGAATGGGTTCTGGTGTAGGAATTGGACTTGGTGGCGGTAGTGGTGTTGGCTCTGGTGCAGGTGCCGGGTCTGGATCTGGATCTGGTTCAAGTTCTGGTTCTGGTTCTGGTTCTGCTTCGGGATCGGGATCGGGATCAGGGTCTTCTGGAGCAGGCTCTGAAGCTGGTTCACATGCAGGATCTCAGGCTGGGTCAGGAGCCGGTTCTCAAGCAGGCTCTGAAGCTGGTTCACATGCAGGATCTCAAGCTGGGTCAGGAGCCGGTTCTCAAGCAGGCTCTGAAGCTGGTTCACATGCAGGATCTCATGCAGGGTCAGGGGCTGGGTCAGGAGCCGGTTCTCAAGCAGGCTCTGAAGCTGGTTCGCATGCAGGATCTCATGCAGGGTCAGGAGCCGGTTCTGAAGCGGGTTCAGAAGCTGGTTCTCGTGCAGGATCTCATGCTGGGTCAGGGGCTGGCTCAGAAGCAGGTTCTGAAGCAGGCTCTGAAGCTGGTTCACATGCAGGGTCAGGAGCCGGTTCTGAAGCGGGTTCAGAAGCTGGTTCTCGTGCAGGATCTCATGCTGGGTCAGGGGCTGGCTCAGAAGCAGGTTCTGAAGCAGGCTCTGAAGCTGGTTCACATGCAGGGTCAGGAGCCGGTTCTGAAGCGGGTTCAGAAGCTGGTTCTCGTGCAGGATCTCATGCTGGGTCAGGGGCTGGCTCAGAAGCAGGTTCTGAAGCAGGCTCTGAAGCTGGTTCACATGCAGGGTCAGGAGCCGGTTCTGAAGCGGGTTCAGAAGCTGGTTCTCGTGCAGGATCTCATGCTGTGTCCGGGGCTGGTTCAGGAGCAGGCTCTGAAGCGGGTTCCCGTGCCGGAGCCGGAGCCGGTTCTGAAGCAGGTTCCGAAGCAGGTTCATATGCAGGCTCTCATGCTGGATCTGGGTCTGGGTATTCTGAAGCAGGAGCTGGTTCATATGCAGGTTCCCATGCTGGATCAGGAAACTGAAACTACAATCTCTCGTATGTATTAAATAAATAAATAAAACTTCAACAAATATAACTCAATGGTTCAATAGACATAGTGTAATTCATATATGTATGTTTTTTCCTGTGTATTTGCTGCATGGAATCATGATCTATCATCTATCTATACAATATACAATGTAGTGGTGTAAGGTTCTTTTCTTTGACAAGTGCAAAATTTGTTGCTCAATAAAAGATGTTAGTTGATATAAAACTTTTTATTATTGTTATTATTTATTTTCATTTTTGTATTGGTTAGAATATATTTATCTTTTCTCTCTAATACTTATTTTGATCATTTAATTATTTATTTTTTAATTATTCTTATACTTTGTGTTTGTTTCTTTATTCTAATTATCCAATTTTTACTTTAAGATAGATAAAATGACGAACTTGTATTATTTAGCAAAATATAAATATTAGAATTAATATTTGGTAAAAGATAAATGATTAATATAAAAGATAAACAATTAAAATGAATAAAAATATATAAAGAGCAAAAATGAATATTAAATAGAATATAAAAAAACAAAAATATTTAAATCATTGTTTATTTGAATTTTAGTTAGTTTTTAAAATCTATTAAATTATTGCTTTAGTCGGTAAACAAAGTGACAATAATCACTATAAAGTCATAGGCACAAGTGTAAATTTATGAGTTCAAATCTAAATGATAGTGTCAATCTAATAGTTGTTGCGGATCGACAACAAATAAGACATTAATCTTACGGATAATTCAGTTTTATATAAAAGGAGTAAGCACATTGAAGCTAGACTTTATTTCTTAAAGGAAAAAATAAATAGAAGTGAATTTGAAATAAGACATTACTCAAGTAAAATATGGTTTTTGTTAGAATTAATTTATATTTAAGAATATCTTTTAGATTGTTTATATCTTTGTTAGAAGATATATATCTTAGATCTTCTTATATCTTTGTTTGAAGATATATTTTAGATTTAATTTTTGTGTATAAATAGTCTAGTGAGGTAGCTCAATATAATTCATTGTAAATTATTATTCCTTATTTTTGTAGCCGTAATTTAATATAAATTTTTTGTCTTTCATCTCTTTTTTATGCATCAACAATTGATATCTAGAGCTCTGGTTCGAAATCCACGGAGAAAAGAACTATTGTAATTAAGAATTACAATATTCTAATTCTGGGAGTTTTGAGAAATATTGATTTGAGAAACTCTGCGTAAATTGCTCAAAGGTAGAAGATGAACGGGAACGGCGACGATATTCATTCCAAGCTTCCAGTATTTTATGGCAAAAACTGGAATCGTTTGAAAATCCAGATGCGCGTGTTATTTGGTTCTCAAGATGTGTTAGATCTTGTCACCAATGGCTATGATATGTTAGAAGCAGACGCAACAGAGGAACAAAAGATAACACACACGACGCTAAGGAAGAAAGATCAGAAGGCGTTGTTCTACATCCATCAATGTGTGGATGCAAATATGTTTGAGAAGATTGCTGATTCTAAAACAACAAAGGCTGCGTGGGATACACTGGTTAGATGTTACAATGGTGACGCATCAATGAAGAAGGTGAAACTTTAGTCTCTCAGAAAGCAATATGATAATCTCAACATGAAGGACAACGAGAAGGTTTCTGAATACATCTCTAGAGTGATTCTGATCACTAATGAGATGAAATCTTGTGGAGAAACACTTTCCTGAACAAGTAATCATTGAGGAGATCTTGAGATCTTTAACTTCTCAGTTTGATTACATTGTGGTAGCAATTGAACATTCCAAAGATCTGAGCACCATGAGAGTTGAAGAGCTGCAAAGTAGTCTAGAGGCGCGTGAGTTGCATATGACTGCGAGAACTTCTGAGAGGGAAGTAGAGCAGCAGGCTCTGAAAGTAACTTCTGGTAAGAAGTATCAGAAGCAAACTTGGTCAGAAGCCAGGAAGAAAACTAATGGTGATCAAAGGTCAGAAGCTTCAAATTCTGATAGGCAGAAGAAAGTCCAGAAGGGAAAGGAGAAGTCTGACAAGAAGAATGTTCAGTGTTACTGTTGCAAGAACTTTGGTCACTATGTAAAAGATTGTTGGTCAAACAAAGAAGAAGTAAAAATAGTAAGAGGAGATTCAGATGATGATTTTGTGCTATTTATGGCTTATGAATCTGATGAGGAACCGGTGAAATTGTCATTTTCTGATTTTGAAGGGGAAGAATATGACTCTGAATATTCTGATTATGGAGTGTTTGAATACGAGTCAGAATCAGAAGACGACGATGAAGATTTCGAAGACAAGTCAGAATCCGAAGAAGATTCTGATTCTAAAGAGTCAGAAGATGATGACTCTTGGAAACTCTGAAGGTGAGTCAGATGGTGAATCTGATTCTGATCTAAATTTTGATGATGATCCAAAATTTGGTGGTGATCATGCTTCTGGAAGGGAAAACTCTAAAGACGTAGGTTCTGAAGGACAAACTTCTAAATATGATCATGTTTCTGGTGGACATAATGACTCTAAGGATGGACCTTCTGAAGGAGTAGCTTCTCAAGGAAATTCAGTCTTTGATGGTGATCATGACTCTGAAAGTGGAACTTCTGAAGGCAGAGCTTCTGAAAGTGATCCAATTTTTGAAGATGGTATTTCTGAAGGTAGTGGTTATGAACGATGTCCAGAAGCAACAAAGGTGGAGCTTATGGTGGTAGTCAAACTTTTGAAGAAAGTCTAAAAGGATATATTGTTCCAGAATCAGAAGGTGATTCTGAACAAGTTTAGAGGCCACATAGAGTCAGAAATATACCAAGAAGATTTGTAGAGTTTGACATGTTGCAAGACACTGAAGGAGAAGTTATTCAGTGTTCAATGTTAGTAGACTCTGAACCCGTGAGTACGAAAGAGGCTCTTAAGCAGCAAGTTTGGTTACAATCCATGAAAGAAGAACTTGATGCTACAGAGAGAAACAAGACTTGGAAGCTGACAAAACTTCTAAAAGGCAAGAAAACCATCAACATCATATGGGTTTTCAAGCAGAAGCTAAAGCCAGCTGAATCAATTGGCAAACATAAAGCAAGATTAGTAGCAAGAGACTTTCTACAGAAGCCTGGGCTGGATTATTTTGAAGTGTTTTCACCTATAGCAAGACATGAAACAATCAAACTAGTGATTGTAATAGCTGCTGACAGAAATTTGGCCTCTGATGCATTTAGATGTAAAATCTGCATTTCTGAATGGTCCATTGCAAGAAGAGGTATACGTATAACAACCTTCTGGATTTGAGAAAAAGAATCAGGAAGGGATGGTGTTCAAATTACACAAAGGCTTGTATGAATTAAAGCAAGCGCCCAGAGCTTGGAATTTGAAGATTGATTCATTTTTCAAGGAACAAGGGTTTCAGAAGTGTGAGATAGAGAATGGTGTTTATGTTCAGCATACTTCAGAAGGTAATATGATTCTGGTCTGTTTGTATGTTGATGACATATTGCTAACAGGATGTTCTGAACAAGAAATAACTAAGTTCAAGAAGGTTCTGATGAATGCGTTTGAGAGACAGATCTTAGAAAAATGAGTTTTTTTCTAGGGATAGAATTTATGTACTCTGAGAAAGGAATCATTTTACATCAGATGAAGTAGGAACTAGAGCTTCTAAAGAGATTTGAGTTATAAAATTGCAAGGGTTCTATCACACCTGCTGATACGAATCAGAAGTTGGACTCTGATTCTGATGGAGAGGATGTGGATACTACAACCTTTAAACAAATGGTTGGTTCTCCAAGGTATTTGTGTAATACTAGACCTGATATTTGCTATGCAGTTGGAATAGTTAACAAATTTATGAGCAAACCAAAGTGGTCTCATTACCAAGCTGCTATCAGGATTCTGGGGTATGTAAAAGGAACTCTGAAATATGGAGTGTTACTTCCGTTTGAAAGAAAGATCTAATCAGAACTTCTGAGTTATTCTGATTCTGATTGGTGCGGAGATAGAGGTTACAGAAGAAGTACTTTTGGGTACTTATTCACATTTCTGGGAGGTCTTATTTCTTGGTGTTCCAAGAAACAACCTGTTGTTGCACTGTCAACTTGTGAAGCTGAATATATTGCAGACGCTCTAACTGTGTGTCAAGTTGTGTGGATTCTGAACTTGCTGAAAGATCTGAAGATTGAGGTAAATAAACCTCTGAAGCTGATGATTGATAACAAGTATGCAATCAATTTTGCCAATAATCCAGTGTTGCATGGGAGAAGCAAGCATATTGAGACCAAGTATCATTTTCCGAGGAATCAAGTTTAGAATGGAATATTAGAAGTTGTGAATTTTAGCATCCAGAAGCAGCTGGTATATGTTCTGACAAAGGCTATCAAAACTGATCAATTTCTTTGCTTGAAGGATGGAATTGGTCTTGTCAGTTTTGGATAAAATATAAATTAAGGGATGATGTTAGAATTAATTTAGATTTTATAATTAATTTATATTTAGGAATATCTTTTAGATTGTTTATATATTTGTTACAAGATATATATCTTAGATCTTCTTATATCTTTGTTTGAAGATATATTTTAGATTTAAGTTTTGTGTATAAATAGCCTAGTGAGGTAGCTCAATGTAATTCATTGTAAATCATTATTCCGTATTTTTGTAGCCGTCATTTAATATATTCCTTTTGTCTTTCATCTCTTCTTTGTGCATCAACAGTTTTCACTAAAAAAATTGAAGATTGATATATTTCTAAAATTTGAGAAAGAAATTAAAAATTATAAACTTATATGCACAATTGTAAATTTTTGAGTTCAAATCTAAATCATAATATCAATCTAATAATATTAACATTTGTGAGTTGAACACTTACAAACTAGTCTAATTAACTTAAAGAAATTTTTTATTAGTTTGTATGAACACTAAATCATTTTATTTGTGACATATTTATTATTTTATTTTCATTAATTTAAAATATTTTTAGGTTTCTCTTTCTCCTATTATTGATTGCATTTATTATTTTTTTACACATTTTATAATTT